AGAGAGATTATTTATCCTATCTTCTATCTATCTATTTCTCATCGTATACTATCTAATCTTCTATTCTACTCCTATCTTATTCTATTATTTCTTCTATCTACTACTATCTATCATCATCATATTCTACTCTCTATCTTACTATCCTCTGTGTCTTTCCTTCTGTATCTATTCTTCTATCTATATATCAATCTCTTCTATCTATTCTATATCTATCTATCTATCTATCTACATCTATCTGATTTTATCTGATCTATACTATCTAATCTATCTATCTATCTATCTCTATCTCTCTATCTCTATTCTCTATACTCTCTTTCACACACTCTCCTCTCTCTCTCTCTCTCTCTCTCTCTCATTCTTCTTTCTTCTCTCTCCTCTCCTCGCTCTCCTCTGCTCTCTCGCTCTCTCTCCCTCTCGCTTCTCTCTCTCTCTCTCTCCTCTCTCTCTCTCTCTCTCTCTCTCATCTCTGCTCTCTCTCTCTCTCTCTCTTTCTCTCTCTCCCCCCCTCTCTCTCTCGCGTCGCGTACGCTCTCTCTCGCTCTCTCTTCTCTCTCTCTTCTCTCTCTCTCTCTCCTCTCTATATTATTGATCATATTTCCCTTCCGCTCTCTAACTCGGACCCTAATTGACCTAGTGCTACCAAAACCAGGTCACTACGACCTTTATTTGACCTTTACCTTGACCTTGATCATATTTCTCTTCCGCTCTATAACTCGGCCCTTAGCGCTACCAAACTTGGTATACTTACACATCTTGGGGAGAATGTGTGTCGCGTACCGAAACCAGGTCACTGCAACCTCTATTTGACATTGTCCTTGACCTTGACCATCATATTTTCTTTCCGCTCTATAACTGGGCTCCTAATTGACCTAGCGCGACCAAATTTCGTATACTTACACATCTTGGGGAGAACACGGGGGATACATGTAGTTGGCGACAACTGCCCTTTCTAGTTTTAACATAAATTTCATATACAGCAATTGAGCGCACCGTTTTATGTGTACGATAATCTGCTCCATCTTTTGAAAATGTCGTGTTAGCGAATTTGTTTCGCATCCCGAAATAAGTGATTGTAAGTTACAAAATTACGTATACATGAGAAATTCATGTAGCCGAGTTGCCGTAACACAGGTATTATAAACGTATGAAGGCAGTGTTCATCATGTGACCTGTGTTTGTTTTCTTGCCATCAGTATCAAAAACGATATTGTAAAGCTGGTTTCAAGTTGTGTTTTCATTGCATACACATATATATATTCTTTGATAGACATGCTAACAGTTATATTTTCTTAGATAACATATTGCCTGAAGTGCTGTTATAGTGATTTTTTGCATTTTTACAGTGTTTCTACTACCCACCCTCTCTTTACCACAGCTCTGTGTGCAAAAGTGGTTTGGGAGGATGTTATTTTAGTTGAGTAACCTGTATCGTAACTTGTCGTGCCACGTTTCTGAAGTGATGTTTTGCCTGAAATGGAAAAAACGTCCCTGTAAGTAAAAAATGTAGGTGTGAGTGCTTATATAAGTGCCTAGTGTTGTCAATCGGTTGTAATTTCGTAATTGATCATCGGTTTGACCCAAGTAACCGATGATCGGTTACAATCGGTTACTCGGGGTGTTGAATGCCTGCGTGTGCGTAACTCGTACGTCATACATACCACGTACCTACGTACCACGTCGTACGCACGTACGTCATACATACCACGTACCTACGTACCACGTCGTACGCACGTACGTTCGTGCGTACGTGTGCGCGTGTGCGTGTGCGCATGCGCGTGTGTATGTAGCCACCATCAGCGTTTAATTCGCAGATGCTACGGTTCACATAAATACATAGAACGTTTTCATTTGGCCGTTATTTAATACCTGCCGATTTAAATGAAATGCCACCAGAAGGTCACCTTGTGTTTAGTAAGCAGGTTCGCGCTCCCACGTGTTTTGTGTAGGATATTGTCGGTGGTGTTTGTCGACGAATGCGCTTTTGATTCGAGATTGACTCATCACAAAATAAATCGAGAAAATCCTGCATATCCCGTATCCCAGATTCAGATAGTCTGATCACTCGTCCCGAACACAGTGGTTCCTCCCCTCCCTCATACATGCTGTTCTGTCCTGTCCTGTCCTGTCTTGTTTGTTTTGTTCTAACAGATTTTTCGGTAGCCGACCTAACGATCGTATATAAACCATAGACATATAAGAGTCTAACTACACTGTAGTATGTTATTCCTGCGGTATAAACACGGTTTCAGGTTGCGACGCCTGAGCCAAACTCCACGACAGATGGCGCTCTCGCTCTGGCTCTAAGATTATTATAGCAAGGTATATCGGTATTATAGCAAGGTATTATAGCAAGCCAAGGTATTATCCTGAGTGTGGGAAGGGGCACTGCATGCAGTTTGCGCCCGAGCACGGGACAGCGAACAGTTAGCTAGCGACATCTGTCGGCGAGAATCGCAGTTAAATCGGGAAAAGGAGCAGATAAACCAGCTTCCTATATTTCATATATTTACCCTTACATGTAGATTCATAGTTTCGGGCGAGACCGGCGCTGCAATGCCGCCCGAATTTATTGAAAACTACGCTAAAGTCGGTGAGCATAACATTTTAGAATTAGCTGCAATATTTATCATATTTAATTAATTATTTATTTATTGATTGATTTAAAGATGGTACATTGGTAAAAAAATACATCTACATGAACTTGCAAGCTCCTTACCCTCAGTGACAAATAAATAACACAAGTTCTTTTTACAGGAGCTATCGTATCAACTACAGAGGCAAGCTGCCTGGTTCAGCTGCTTACATGTGTGTCCTATCCTCCTATGAAATGAAACAAACATGAATTTATGTACTGTACACCTCAAATATAACATACTCAGACATATTGGACTTTCACTTATAGTAGTTATATTTTTAGATTCCTAATGAGTCCAATAGAAAGCTATTACAATTCGTTCATATATATATATACAATGTATTTTAAAATAAAAAACGATTTTTCAATTAGCAGAATTTCTTCATTTACTTTATAGTTTAACTAAACATTATGTAACGAAACATTTAAAATCACCTTAAAAAAACACAGATAATGACATTATCGAGCGAGCAACCTACCAACCTACCTGCACTTCGCAAGAGACTGCGAATGACTTTCAAGCGGGAGGGACAGCGAGGAATTCTATCGCGATCAGCCACGACAGCTTTCAGCTTGACACGGGTGCGAGGCAGCTCTTTAATTAGCGCCACCTTTAGGCGCAGAGCTTAAACGCGTTAGCGCAGGGAGCAGTCGCTTCTCACAGACGAACGTTCTCTTTGTTTTGTGAATGCAAGTCGAACAGAGTCCTGAAAGACGTGTTTCATAAAAGACAAAAATGACTAAAGATTCCCATATTTGCCTAAAGTTATTAAAGTTCTGTATATGCCATATTGTTCGCGTACAGATATTTTCGCGAATTCAGACTTGACGGACAATTTCGCGAGTGGTTAATTTCGCGGTCGGTGAATTATGAATTATTCGCAGGTTGTTATTTTCGCGGTCTGGGACGCGTTCGCAAAATTCGCGAAGATTAAACCACCGCGAAATATACAGCTTATACAGTATTCGTCTAAAGCTTTCAACATTCGCCGCGAATATTTACGCGCCACGCCCAAAAAAATTTACATGACACTCGAGACAAGTTCGATTGTTCTTCACTGCCGAACACGGTACCTGGTCGATCGACGATTAGCCGGCACTTTGGCGATCTTTCGCTGTCTGGGGAACACCACTGCAGACTTTGTAGCCTTTTCAGTGCCATCTCAAGACCCACCTGCTTCACATCAAGTTCATGAGTCATCACCAAGCGTCCTGGAAAGAGAACATTGAGCCAATGTCGTACTTAATAATATAAATTCTTTATAATTTCATCGATAGACCGTTCGTCACTGTCAGTTGTTGGACAGTCCTGGAAAGTGGTCGGGCAAACGCTATGCTTGAAATGTAAATTATGTAATTACTTCTTCTTTTTCCTTCACGTTATTAGTGCCACTGAAGTGGGGTCGATGCAGTGGACTCTTCTCCTCCATTTTTCCCTATCCTCCACTTCGTGTGTCGCCAATCCCTTCTCCTTCAAGTCATTCTGCACGCAGTCCTTCCATCTTGTCCTTGGTCTCCCCCTTCCAAATTATGTAATTACTTATCAATATATATTCTCAATTTTTATCATCGATGACCCGTTCTTCGCTGACAGTTGCGTGCTCACCGTTCCAGCTGACGGTCGCTTCTAACGCATCATTGAAGGTGACCTTCAGAGGCAGGCTGCCATCTTGTTCTCTCAGTACGAGTGTGAGCAGATCGTCGCTGCGGATGAGGACCCACGGTTCAGTAACCTTGACTGCAGCCTGCTGCAACTCACCGTAGTCATGCAGCTTAACCATCTCTGGAGTCCCGGGTGCACGCCGAGGAGTCTGGCGAAAAAACACACACACACATCTGTATGACAGAGAAGATAATTCGAATTGGAATGATGTGCAGGTGGATTTAATCCTATGGGGGATAGAGGGATTTTTCCATGATGAACATATACCAGCTGTAACGGTATAGCTATATGTGCACAACACATCAGGGTGACATCGAGAAAAGGCTGTGAGCGTCTGGCTAAATATTGTAATAATTAAAGCATGATTTAAGATGTTATCAAAAAGTGAATAATATCAACGTAACATAACGAAGAATGAAACAACTATTTTCCTCTCACTGGTTTCTTTTTCGGTGAAGTTTTGGTGACTTCCATACTTCTTCTGGGCATTTTCAGTGTGGGCAATCGCTCCTTTGATATTTTGAAGCCTTTACCTAATAAAACAGAATGATAAGGTGATGTAAATACTTAACTGTTATTGTAAAGAAATAAGTAAGATTTCACAGCATTTGTAAAACAAATAAATGCACAGAGTCGTCATTTATATGCCAGACCTCCCATGACTAATACATGCATGCCTATATAAACATATACCATGACGAAGAAGCTTACCACTAAAAACCAGGTGCGACTTTTCAAAGTGATCGGAGCAGATCTTGTGTTTGGACACATTGAAGTTTGCATCATGTCTGGCTACAGCTGCTACGAGTTTTTCCCTCCACTCGTGGTCGTCTGCTGTGTCGTTGGGGAAAGACATGTAGCTAACGGGAACCTCTCTAAACTTTGTTTTCTCATGATAGTTTGTACATCCAGGAACACAGCAGTTATGCCCACCTCTTCCACTAATTCCAGGCGCCATAATCAGGGGATGGGGTAGAACACCTGAAAACCAATTTTTTTTTTATTTGCTACAAGAATGGTAATACTAACAAGCAGTAAAATAAATAGACACATATATATATATATATCGTTTATACATATCTTCTACTTGAAAATTTAATAGATTGGTGATCACATTTGTAATGCTTTTTGGCAACAACCTGCCATGTGACCACTCTTACATCATTACCAGGTTCACCGCTGAGGATAGGGGATGTGACGCGCAACTCCAGCCAACCAATCGGAGGGCGCGCAGCCCCAACACTAAACCCGATGCGAAGTTTGGTGGCTGCAATAGTTAGGCTGGCTAACGTGTGTGCCAATGCCATGCATACCGAGATGGGTGGATGGTCAACTTACTGGGCCTTTTGCCCCCAATATAGGGTCTCTAATCTCTCTATTTGGCTGTGCAGCAGTTGTTTAGGCATAAACGTGGTGCTTGCGACTAAATTCGCGATAAATTTTCAAATGACGCCATGCATCGAGGTATCGTTTCTTTTTGGCCCTTGAAGGTAGTAGCGCCGACCCTACCCTGGTTAGACCATAGACGTACAAGAGTTCGGCCTTGGACGAAACTTCGAAATAAAAAAAACCACACAATGTTTATGGTATAGAACGAATTCACGACTATCGCCTTCACTCGAACCGGCGATGCAATTCGATCGACTTTGATTTAACTAACTAACTAACGCCGCGGAAGAACTGCAGTAGATCTATCTACCTAACTAACTAACTAACTAATTAGCTAGCTGACTGACGGACTGACTAACTAGCTAGCTAACTAACAAACTAAATAACAACCTAACTAACTAACCAATGAACTAACTAATTACCTAACTAACTAACTAACTAACTAACTATATCCAAATCGCTACCTGTAACTTACCTGTGACGAAGCTTGGTCGCGGAAGCTCTTCATCGTGTTCTTGCACCACGATCGTTGCTGTTTCCCTTCTTCGTCTCTACGCGCTCTAACTCGTGACCGGTTACCGGGTAGAGCGAACCTATACGCCACAGTCGATCCCGCGAAATCGGTTGCTAAGTAAGAACCGACGATTTCAGGTGTGTGCGTGTATATATGACGGCGTTGCCTCGGGTCGCTCGCGTTCGTATCGCACCGAGCACGAATGATGCCGACGTCCGCGATCCTTTTATTATTACATCGCGATGGCATTTGAAACGCGGGCAGGTAGGGCAGGTAGAGTAGAAGCTAGATTCTATATACGGACGGACTTGTAGCAGATGGGACCAGACCGGCGGCGGGCGGCAGATCCCGTTTCAGAAGCAATATCGTCGAACGGTTCCATTCTAATGCGAGCAGCGTCTTTTGAAAATCACTTCGATTGTTTAGCATTAATTTCCGGTTAGCTGCGAGGGTATATCAGTCGATTCTATGCGAGTGGCGGTTAATTCATACTGGTGAAGAATGGGGCGCAGCTATGGCGTGCCCGTAATGACAATCCTTCGAGTCAATTATTTCGACTGCGATGCAGACGATTGGATTGTGATCAAAATCCGATGCGAATAAAAATGCGCCAAGATTAATCTGCTGCTGCGTAACCTCACGTAGTTACACGTAACCTCACGTAGTTACACGTAGTCACGTAACCTCACGTAGTCACGTAACCTCACGTAGTCACGTAACCTCACGTAGTTACACGTAGTTACACGTAACCTCACGTAGTCACGTAACCTCACGTAGTTACACGTAACCTCACGTACTAGTTACACGTAGTTACACGTAACCTCAC